TCCATGTGGTGACATTCTATAAGATCTCCAAAAATATGTTGACTTTATATGACATATATTTTAACTTGCAAGGCAAGTTTTCTATACAGGCACCACATAATTAGCTTGTTCTACAAGCTACCAATACATGTAGCATGTCGTTAGCTTATTGACCAAGTTTCTAACCTACTAATCAACTATAAATACATGTAAAGTCAAAACAACATCTAAGAAGCTTTTAGGAAGCTTTTTTAGAAGGTATCATGAAATTAATCTACTTTTACCTACTTCTATCTATTCATATTACTTAGGTAATAATTATAATAGATATATATCCCTAATAATACTTTTTTTTTATCGACCATTGGAGAGGGAATTGTTTTCTTCAGATACCATTGAAGATGACTTAGATTGAAGCTTCAATATAAAGTGGCATAACTAAAGCAACCCAATTCCAAAGGAAATCCATGTGGAATATAGTTTTTGTGAAGAAGGTCCAACTAACCTAATCATGAGCCTTTTTGAAATCAAAAAGAAGAAGAATAAGGGATTGCTTACTCTCTACAATCCAATCCATTGTAGCTTGAGCCATAATGGCATTATTGAATATGCATCTTTTAGAAACAAAAAAAAAAAAAAAAAAAAAAAATGAGAACTCCAAATCCAACTAAGAAGGTACAAAATTATTTTGTTTGCTAAAAAAATTGTTATAATTAACTTGTATGTGGCATGTAGTATGGAGATGGGGCAAAAATTGTTGAGAAATGTTAGCTAGCCACCTTTAGGCAATAGACTAATTTTATGAGTGTTAAAGGATTGGCCAAGCAGTTTAGTAGCAAAGACTTCTTTGACAAATTCAAAGAAATCATCAATGAATTCATTCAAAAAGACTTGAAAAAACTCTGTCGAGATTCCGTCGATCTCCACTGCTTTACCTTTCAGGAGGGATCTAATAGCTTCTATAATCTCTTGTTTGTATGGGCTCAAGGTAAGTTCTATCCCTTGTGCCCTAGTGACACACACACACACTAGATGCTTTGAAAACAGTTAAGTCGAGCTTTGTTATTCACTATTGTCCCATGAGTAGAGCTTGATATAAAAGGAGTCGACATATCTTTGCATGTCTTTGTGGTTTATTAGTGTCCTTCCATCTTTGTTGAGCTCTCAAATGAGTGATGGTTTTTTCCTAAACCCAATGTGTAGTTCAAAAAATTCTCTTATACAGCAATCTCTTATGTTTGTCCACCTGGACATATGTCGGTCATGTTGGGCTTCTACTTTCTGTGTAGGGCTAGTTGAGCCATGCTCAGGGTGTAGCATGTTTATTGATTGTTCCAATCAACTTATGGGGCCATTTCGGTTTCAAAAATAGTTTGGAACTGAGCTTTATTATTTATTTAAGCCTAAGCCTTTTGAGCAACTTTTCTATCACTATATAATTTTATCGTGAAACGTGTTGTCTATGATAGGATGGTATTTGCTTTAATTGCATTCTGCCATTCGACTAAGAGGAGCAGTTTTTCGTCCTTGATCATGAGCAAGTATCAGCAGAATGCAGGTGTATGTTGTATTTTAGTCTGTCTTGGTTGTAGGCAAACAAAGGTGGGTGATTGATCTGAGACATTCGCAAGCATTGGCTTGATTGATGTTTGTCCGTCAATCTGGATTAATGTGTGATTCAAATAAAACCTATCCAATCTAGAGCAAATCATCAAAAATGAGGCTTGTCGATTATCCCAAAATTGTTTCTGGGATGTTTTCCTGAACTCGTCAACTCTGTAACAGTCTTGCAGCCTAAAATGGACTGGGAGAGCTCTCCATGCTGTGAATTCTCTTTGCCTTCTCCCAATTGTTGGTTGTCCACCCATTTTATCATCGAGGTCTTCGATCATGTTGAAGTCCTTGGCAAGTATCCAATTTTCTTGTGGGAGCTAATGCTGTCAAATTTTATTCCATAATATTGTTCTTGATCCCATATAGTTAAATGCATATATGTTGATAATCCCGATTTTGATTCTAGATGTCCACTGTAAGGTAACATATTGAGCCTGGCCTTTGAGTATCACCTCGTGTTCACAAATGAGATTCGTGAGTCAAGTCGATAGTAGAATCCTTGTGCCTCCCTTGAAGCTGTCGGTATTGGTACTGTAAGTTGCTTCATTCCATAGTGCTAGGCCGTGTCTGAATTTTATTTATTTCATGTGATGTTTTCCCTCTTCAAGCAAGAGTTTATATTCCTGAATCAAGAGGATTTCAGGATAGGGTTGGAAATCGCAAAGGAATTTCCTGATCTCGCATCTTCTACGTAATCTTGTGATATTGTGTTTGAATCCTTGTATGTTAAAAGATGTGAGGGTAAGGTTGTTATTCATCTAAAGAGTCTGCTTGAGGGGTTTCGGACTCCCCTAGGTTGTTGTTTGGATTTGCATGAATCATGGATGAGGTAGGATTGGCTTCTTCTGATGTTGTCAGAGTTTTGTTCCCTAAGAAAAAGGATGCATGTTGGGTTTCAATGTCCCACAAATGTTTCCTGTATTGAATGAATTGTGGAACTGATTGTTGAAAGGGCGCAGAAAGACTCGCCCAATTCAATAAGTTTGAATTTCTTAGTGTGTAGATTTCCTCATTATAACGGATGAGAGCTGTTATTGTGCATAAGGATTTGTTTGGAGTCGGCTGAGACCAGCTGTATAACCATTGCCCGTCCTCCCAAGTACGCAACGGGTTGATGTGTTTCTGTTTCACAATTACCCATCCACGAAGGTGATCATTAACGAAGTGTGTTTGCGCTGAGATTTGATTCTAGTTCTTATTATTTAGTCCCTGTGTTAGATAAAATAAAGAGGATGCTTTTCCAGATTGGTTTTGTTAATTTTAAAAGGGCTTCAATCGATTCCTCTCTATCCCTAAAAATAAAAAAAAATCGGCAGTACTATTGTTGTTGGTATTCCATTGGGAATCCTATCAAGAGTTAATGCAGACCAAAAACTTTTGCATATATTTTATGTGTTAGAGCACCTTCACCCCCACTCAAATCTAATACCAATTCTTTCAAACAGACCCAATTCATTTGGCAACCTAAACATACACAAGATCGGGAGACATCAGTAATCAATCCACAGCCTGTGAAGAGAGCTCATGGCTATAAGTGTTGCGTCATTTCTTGTCCCTCATTGCCGATGTTTATTGTTAGTGCACTCTGTACTTCTGGAGACTGGATATTTTTTGGATTAGGTGGTCAAAAAAACGACACCGACTGCATTGGGTCAAAAGTCCACAATATTCTAACTCATACACTATTTCCCCTTTGCCATCCAGTCTAGGTAAAATGAGGGACTGAGGAAGAGCTCGTACGTCTTTGGTCAAAATGCAAACTCTTGGGCCAGATAATTTTGTAAGGTATACATCCGTGTCATCCACGAAGAGAACTTCACAAAAGATTTCGAAGGTTTTGTGGAGGAAGTCTTTGGTTCATAAGGAGAACAACTCTAAAATCTGCACCCACACTCCAACTTTGAGACATGATTTATTGTGTGGTACGTTGAAATTAAAGTAAGGTGACCAATTGTAGAAGGAGATTTGCCTCCGTCTAAAGTGAAGCTCCGATCTGCCAATGTGTTTTTGCGGCCTTCCTCCTAGGAGAATTGGATCTAGAAGTAATTATTAGATCTGACAGTTAGTTGCTTGAAAGGTCGATGTAGATGTATCTTGGCCCATTGTGAAAGCCGTCGAGCACCTGGAGTGCATCTCGTTATGTGGCCCAGCACCATATTGTTCTGAAGGCTAACCATTTTTTCTCTATATGTATTGAGGCAGTCGGATGGTAGTGTAATCCTATGTGGTGGGGGTTTATTTGAATCGTCATTCGTTGTAGGAAAACCTTCTTGAATTGTTTGTATTTCTGGACTGCTAGTTATCAGGTTGTTGTCTATAACCTGTGGTAGGGGAGAAGTAGGGACTTCTTCCTGGATGATTGGTAGGTCCTCCAGGTGATGAAGTTTTTCTAATATAGGGGTAGTCCCTACCGGGTGATGTTGAGGATAGTGTGCTTGTAAAAATCTCGATAGTTCTGGTGCTACCCTATTGATTAATGCTGCCACCTCTTCATATTCTGAATTGGTGAAGGTGAGACCCAGATGAGGATGTTTCTGTAGAATTTGTAGTCCTGCCCTACGCCTAACCTGAATTTGAGTTCTAATGGCTTGAAATATTTTGAGATCTAAATCGATCCCGAAATCAGAGTTGTTGCATCCTCCTTAGCAGGAGATGAAAGACCTGTCTGTCCGATTGAGGGCAATAAAGGGGCTCCAGACAATTGTATGTCTGGAGTCGAGGTGCGGCATTCTTCGTCTTCCAAACCAATAAGTTCAGAAATTAAATTGGAAGAAGGGTCATAGATTACTCGACTTGAAGAGAGGTTGCAGCACTATGGTGTGCCCTTGTTCCATCGTTGTGCCCGTTTGGTGCTGTTGACTCTCCTTGGTTGTGTCCTTGACTACATTGCACGATAGCACGTTCTTCTGAATTTCCCTGTGCCGTGAATCTGTTTGCATTCTGCTGCTGAGATTGATATTAAGGGTTCTCTTGTTTCTAGTCGATTCCTGCATTGACGATGGCTTATCATATGATGGTCTGCGGTTCCTAATGGCCCTGCTACTGCATTAGTGGCAACTGACTTGCCCTTCTGCACTGCTCTAGCCCAACGAGTTGCCGCATATCAGTCCATTCTTGTCTGAATTTACTTCTAATGGGTGCAAACTGTTTCTCTAATGACACAACTCACAACACTGATGGTCGCGCACAAGAAAAAACCTCACTAAGTAAACAAATCCTTCACTTATCGTCACTCCTAGAAAACCGGGTCTAGGATAAGGTGCGCCCCGAATTTCATCTGAACCATTACAACAGTTCGAGCTTTTGGTGATTTGTTTTCCAAATCTGTGCATCTCTGACGAAATGATGGCTTCTCTTTGGATTTAGAAAATTAAGATAGTTGCAGCATTCCAGTTGGCAGCAGAACGTGACGAAGCAAATGACGTAGCACCAAATGCACTTTATTTTCATCGTTTCAATCCCAATTCGACCGAACCCAATGCCTGGACTCGCACAAGCATCCACTCCAAGCAGGCAAATCATATAAAAGCCACTCAGTTTCCAGAACTTGTGCGGGTGGCATTGTGATTGATGGAGAAGTTACAATGTGGCAAAAACAGCGAACAGGTCGCCGTTAATGTAGTCATTATCTACCATGCTGACCAAGAAGTAAGAGTCCTTGATCTGCATACAATCCGACCAGGGTGAGGAAAATTATGCAGGGGAAATGTAAGCAATAGCAGCAACTTCAAAGTTTAACACCGCCTAATTCATTTTGTGCAGTTTAAAGTCACTTCAATAACACAGGGGATGTACTTCAACTCGAAATTTCAGCAAAATTTGCACTTACCTCAGAAAGAATCTTGCGCGAAGAATCCTCCTCCGAATAGAGCGCAGCCCATTCATGGTCCCAAGTCTGGAAGGCCTCGTCCTTCCACACCATGAAACTTACTGGATCAACTACTGTTGGCTGGATCACCTCCTTGGCAGGGAAAACACCCCATGTGACAGCGTTGACACAGTTGGGTCCAATGTTGGATTGAGTTTCTCCTTTAGCATTGACTGCAATGAAAGTCAAGGATGGATTTGACTTTGCTTTCTCAATCACAGCTTGAAGCTTCTCAGGTGAACAGAAAAACTCAACATATGCCTTCTGATAAACATATCCACCTGGACCCCCCCATCCTGAGCATACGCAATTCAATTTCGAAGGTCATGTTAGGAAAAGAGATTTTAAAACGATTATCACACCTCAAACACTTTCTGCTAAAAATACCCCTAATTCCAGTCCCTAGCCTCACATTATGGAAATGCAGCTGCATGAGACGTAGCACATACCAACACTTGGGGAATCCGACTTCTCGCCATTGACCGCAGGTTGGCTATTGATAGTCAAGAACCCTTGCGTGTTAAGAGCAACCAACTTATCATTGATCTGTGAAGTCTCAGGCTGCAGACCTTCCAACTCTGACCATGGATGAGTGCTCAATGTTCCCTGACAGTACTTGGCAAAAATCTGCACTTACAGACGAACATCAGAAACAAGAACAACTGATCTCTATTTTCTCGTGCACGTATAACCCATACCTACTATTCATTTAGACAACAAAGCTTTCGAGAAATGTCGAGGATATTGAAGAATTGGATGTTTTTCACCTGGTTAACATCTTCACATGAGTTCAAAGGGACTGCCCACTCCTTCTGCAATTTCTTGCTGCGAGTTTTCTTCCTCAAAAACTGCGAATGCAACACAGCAATTAATGTGCAAGTCAACCACAACGCTAGACACCAGGATTACCGAACCTAACCTAGCAAATTACAGCACTCACAAGCGTTAACATCTGTACGATTAGTAACTGACTTGATGATCACTGAAGCTGCCGTAGGCAGGGTTGCCAGTGTCTCCCCATCTGCCACGGGGGAACTCATCCCAGCTGGTAGTTCGTGAGATATAACTTCTCGGTCGGTTCGCCCTGAGTGTGACAAGGGAGTTAGTTTAGCATTCAGAAGACTAATGGCTCAAATTCTAGCAACCTAGAACGAAATTTTCCCGATTTCAAACCTCACAGGGGATTTGCATGCAATAAGAACGAGATTGAATCCTACCCTAAATTAAGTTTGGACACGGATGAAAATACGAATAGCCCTGAAAAACGCAGCTAACTGTGTCCCTCACAAATGGTTTAAATGGAAAAGCACTACTCGGTAGAATCACACCCATGACTTCACGCACGTCCTCGCAGTGCTGATGAGAAGTGCTGATCTACAAATAAGATTTGAGCATCCCGAACTTAGCGGTAAAAGGAATACAAACAAGGAAACCGAGTGTTAATAGCAGATATGCACCAGAAGATTGGACGCACGTCCTCCTTCGTGCGCTTGCTGTTGGTGGGAGGCCTCCACGGCAATGGGCGAGTGACCTTACTGAAGTCAATTAACCCCAAGTTCTGCCATATAAAAAATATTTAACGAGTAAGAGCAAGACTTCTTAGTCACAAACAAGGGACAAAAGCTGCATTGAGAATAAGAAAACAATCAATAGCAAACAAGAACCTTCAACGTCGAGGCATACCTGTAAGATGCCGAGAACGGACTTCTCCAAATTCAGAGAGTACAAGTGCAGTGTTCTAATGTCATGCGCCAAGATCTTCTTACACATTTCTGTGCCCAAGTGAATACCATATGCTCTGACTGCTTCGTCGTTGTCCTTGATAGGCTCCAATGTAGCCATGATCTCAGCTGGCACCTGATCAGGGCTTACATCAGAAACTTAGTCAAGAATACCATGACAATAACCCTTCATTACTGATCTCACCTCTGAGCAAGCTACCAAGTCTAGTTTTAACTTGACATCTTTGTTCAAATATGAGTCATAGACATATTTGTCATGCGCCATTTGAATTTAATAAATGGTGATGTCAACCTCCAACGAGAAAAGGCAATAACAGTGTACCTTAGTCTTACACAAACTGGTCATGCGAAGAAACCCTTTGTAGTTTTGAATAGGCATGATACCAGGAACCACGGGTGCCTTGATGCCAATTTGACGGCAATCATTCACAAACTTTAAAAAGATATCAGTGTCGTAGAACAGCTGCGTAACAATAACCTCTCCCCCTGCATCACACTGACCATGACGGAACAGAACAAAAGGTGATTAATGGGAAGCGCTGAAAATTGCCAAGAAGGTTTCCCACCCAGGCACACTTCAATACTTAAAAACCAATAATGTCAAATACACCGAAGGCAATTTATTTGTTCGCCACATAAAAACCACAAGTTGCTACTGCCATAAACAGAGAAAATCAACAAACTCGCCATCAAACACCTAACAAGAAGACTCATGGCGTCTGGCGTCGTATGGAATCGGAAAAAAGACACCTAGAAAGGTAAACTTGTGATAGGCTCCAACCTTTTCCTTCAAATACGCAAGATCTTTCTTATAGGCTTCTTCAGATGCAATTCCATCTTCACCAATCACGTCAGGATGAGCCTCTGCAATTAATCCCAGACGTTTCTCAGTTATGCCAAGAGAAACATCTCTGTGGAAGAGACAGATCATTGTAATATCACGAAAGAATTAATGATAACGGAAATCTCAACTACTTCTGTATCGTTCAATATAAACCCTGTTACACAACAATGAGGACATTGTATACAGGTAACTATCATGCTTCTAGATCAATATTAAAAGACAGCTGGTCGATTCTGTCCTAATGTTCTTCAGAACAAGCAGCCTAATGTAGGGAGTGGAGCATGTCAGGTTGGCACATGTGGAGAAAATACTCGCGCTCCGCTATTCTATAATAGCGACATGTTCTTGCTATATGAAAAACGCTTAATAGTAGCCGCAGCATCTGCATCAACCTGATCGCCATCGCCTACAAGCCAAAACCAAAAGCTACGAAATAGCGTCAGAGGAAGAAAGCTGCGGCATACCAGGATATCCAGCTACGGTAATTCCGAAGTAGTCACCGTACTTATCTTTGATGTGCCTCACCTGCAAAGTATCGAGAAAAATCACTTGCAAATAGTTGCACAATAATTTAATCTCTATCAATTTGAATCACCGAGAGTTAGTACTGAATTTTTCGCCAACATTGAATTGGAGGAAAACTTTCCGTCCTCCTCTTTTTGAACTTGCCTAACGCAATCAAACACAAACTACTGTGAAAACTCCCAAACTACAAGGTATCGCAGATCCCTGCAAGCTTGCAACAGGTCTTGTTACACAAGACAAACGAGCACATACCAGATCCAACGCGCAGGAAAATCCTCCGTCGATGGTCACAAATTTATCCTGGCCATGTGGAGGATCACCGCGAAGAGCAAGAATATTCTGAATGCCATTCGACTTGACGTTGTCAAGTGCATTGTCAAGCGTCTCCACAAGCATGTTCGTGCAGGTAAGATGCATCATTGTCTCGACACAGATCTGTAAAATATCAAGGACCCAGTTGTAAGCTTCGAGGGACAGGATTACCAGCATCGCAGCAGCCACAAGCACCTTGCACGCAACCCATCAACTGCAGATTTGCATTCCGCACAGTCCACACCCCATACCATATTCTGCATCTTGTTAGCAATGTCAAGAGTGATAGCGGACGTCGACCCCCCAGCACCCCAAGTGATGTCACAAAACGCAGGCTGGTGCCTGACCATGCGATCCATCCTGTCGAACAAATTCTCAACTCCCTCTTCGGTCTTGGGCGGGAAGAACTCGAAGGAGAACACAACATTGCCGCCCGCCAGACCATTGTTGATCTTGTCAATAACCTTCATGGCTGCAGATCTCTATTACCTCTCGCTTCAACCCCCGCTCCTCTTGAACCTAGATCTGCTCCCACAACACCACGCCACCCACACTCAACCCCCAGATCTACAATGCCATTCTCACAACTCAGCAACACCCATTCCTCCAGCAGAATAGAAACGCCAAGCTCGACTAAAATTCCACACAATAAACACAAAGACGCAAAAACAAAACTCCTCAGAAACTATACAGGAAAAAACACTGTCTAGAAAACTTGCCAAAACATCACCAAAAAACCAGGACAGAAAGCCCTGCAACTTCTAAACCCAAACTAATAAACCCAACGGCGTGAACACACATCGAAACACGACGAATCGAGAGGTATCTGATGGGACAGGCGAGAAGCGGACCGCGCACCTGGCTTGGGAGATGAAGATGGGAAGATAGACGAGAAGATTGGAGACTGGCAACAAGCATCTGTGGTCACCCAAGTTATCAAGTGTTGGCCATCAAAGGAGGGGAATAAACCAAGAACCCAACAAAATCGAAGTGAACGAGGTAGAATGTGAAGGAGGTGTATATTCAGAGAGGGGAAATCTAGACGCAGGGAAAGAAGACTGCGTGGCCGGGTTTCAGGGGCAGAATTCTGTAGGTGGCGACGCGGAGGGCTAGTCCGGGTGGGATCCATTGCCTCTATCATTCGCCCCACAGCAAAATTTCACTTACTGGGGTTTTTTTTTTTTTTTTTCCCTCTCCATTTCCATACCCCTTGAACAAATTTAGGGCTGCAGGGGTGCGCGAGCAGCCTCGATTGCGAGCGACGCTTGCATTTTCTCCTGGCGACATCGCATATTCTGCCTCTCGCGGCGGCATGATCATGCGTTTTCTGGCGTCAGGCTGCGGCGGCGGGGCGGACTCAATCTGTGGCTTCTGTTGTGTGATTGAAACCAATACTTGACCATGAAGTTTTTTTATATATTAGTAAGCTTCCTTAGTCCAAACTGTTTTCATACTTCTCGGGACTTTTTACATGGTCAAGTTTCCAAATTTTGTTTATGTGTCTGTGTTTGCAAAATATGTGTATGAGAATATTAAAGCAATCCAAATTTTTACAAAGGTCATCTACTCTATCTTAAGCATCATTGCATATTTGGAACCCCAATCCCTGTTCCCAGCCATTCCCCATTCCCAATAATTGCTAGGGATGGATGTAGGGCACTGAGAATGGGTGCAAGGCATTGGGAACATCTGGAATGGGAGTGACAGTTGGGAATAGTGGAACAATTGAGAACGGGGCATGTGGGTTGATATAGTAAAAATTTGGGTTGCTTTATCATTTCCCTTTATGTGTATGTATGAATATATATATATATATATAAGTTGTGATACTACCAATTAGAAATTTTGGACATTATGTTAGCTATGTTCAGCAAAAATAACATAAAAAGTAAAAATTGTAAAGAAAAGAATGCAATTCCATGTAATCACAACCATGTTGAATGGAAACTCTGAATCACCAAAAACATTTATGCGAAATGTAAGCAAGATCAAGGAATTTTGAGTTCGTTTTTATCTACTTGTTTTTTTCTATCCATCCATTCATCCATTTCGCTATTGATTCAAACATTCGACATAAATGTATTCGCACACAGTATTCAGTATTCACACAACAAGGGGAGACATTGAAAAGATAAGTTCAACGCAACTGAGCTTCAAGAGTAGAAAGGCATGCTGATGGAGATCAGACTTCAACAAAGAATCAAACAAAACAAAGGCTGCTTCACAGATTGCGATGAATCCAACAAAGATAATGCAACACTATGATCTTTTTGTTGCATCTGCCAAGGTTTCACATCGCCGAAGCTTGTATCGCAGAGACGTAGGTGATGTTGCAACCTCTGAAAGCAAACGACATCGTTCAAAATGGCTCAGGGTGTCGGAATCTGTTGCAGATGCGATCCGTTTGCTCTACAAAGCTTGTAGTTTGGTGACCCAGTCTCGAAATACTAGATCCAGGATGTATGGCCGCAAACTAGGGGAGCACGTCGCAGGTAAGTGCAGGGCAGAGATTCATCGTCTGCATGGCGTGGTGCCAAGTGGAGCGATTGCTCCACAGGCTGGACGCTGGATGGCCAGCGCTGGAGGTTGGTCGGGCGTGGGATGACCTCTGAAGGACCCATGAGAGAAGTCGTGGCAGCGCCGAAAGCCTTTGCGTAGCACATCAGCATCGCATCCGTCCACTGGAACGTAAGGTGTAAAAGCAATCAGTGATTCAGTGTAACTGCCTGCAGACGCTGAAGGAATCTAAGTAACCACTTGTGGAGTCAATGCTACACTGGGTGCCTCGTGGTCTGAAGAAGCACCCGCCGAGGAACTCGTGTATCCGTGTGCATTTATCCTTCTCAATGCGTATCAGGGTGTGAACACATCCAACGTCTCAGCGGTCCGCAGTGCAGCCCAACTCGAAATCCACCGCCTGGAGGCTTTGGAGGCATCACATGCGAACACCCAAGAGCAAGACGCTGGGAACGCTACTAGAAGCACGCATGCGTAACGAGAGAAAGTGGCAGAAGCGAGGGCGGATGAGTTCTCAAGCTGCAGGAGAGCACAGACGCAAAGCTACAACTCCGACGACGGCTTTGACGAGGCCGTCATGGATCAGCGCCGCAGACAAACCGATCAGCGAGTGTGTCTGCGCGAGGCAGCGTCGTACCCGGGACACACCTCCAAAAAGCCGGTAGAAGCCCTAGAAAAAGGCCTTCCCAGGGATCAGAGTCTCCCTGTCTCCCAAAAGCGCTGCAAAGGTACTGGCCACCGGGACCCCACGTCATAGCAAACGACCTGCATCGGAATCCACGATTCATCACCGGAAGTTTTTCTGCTGCTTCCCAGAGTCGCTGACTCCACCGCAACAGAATATTCAGTGCCGGCAAAACACCCAACAGTCACTAACCAAGTCGTCTGCACAAGCCTTGACTCCGACGCAAACCCTCCGTTCTACTTCGGTGGGAATCAAACCCACTTCCTGCTTCCTCGTCGTCCTCGTCGAACCTCATCCTCCTCATTCTCCCCATTGCCTCGAAAGAACGCCAGCATCTCGAAAACCTATTGAAATACTGCCCACCCAGACTGAATTACCTGCCTCTCCTTCAGCTCGTTTCAATTCCTTGGCTATGGCGATGGCGTGGAACTTTGTGAAGCTTCATGGTGCTTCTTCCTCTTCTGCTGCTTCTTCTTCTTCTTCTGATGCTCCGCCGCACTTTGACTAGTCTAATCGATGGTGGGTGTCAGAATATGCGAATGGGACGACGACGAAGAAGAAGAAGAAGCAGGAACTCGAATAAACTCAAAGACACACAATGCTTTCTTTCCCACACTTGCAGCAATATTATTCGTGGATGAATCATTTAATATTATATGTGGGTGCTGAAATTCGTGGATGATAGATGGGTGGACGGGGAGAGTATTGATTGCCTTGCCCTGCACTCAATTGTATTGAATTGAATTGGGTTCCTGAGTGAGTTGTTTTGCAGGGTTTTGTGATGTTAGGTTTCCAGGATATTTTTAGTTTGTGAGGGAATTTAAAAACAAAGTGTAGGATGGATGGTAATATCATATGAACAATCCAAACCTTGAGTTTTTTTACAAAATTGTACAAACACATGATTTTAAAACATGATTTTAACACCTGTTTTTTTTTTCTATTGAATTACAATATGCAAAAACAACAACAATCAGGCAGACATTTTTACTTTTGAAATTCGTGTTATATTAACGGTGTATATTGATGATGTTCAACTTTGCTACTGATCTCGCTCTGTTTATGGACATACAGAATGAACACAAGAAGAAGAGAAAACGAGGATAGAGTTTATAATATTTTTTATATATCTAATTTTTAATGATTTTTCATAATAAATATTTATGTTAAATTATAACTGTAAAATCTAAACTCTCATCAGAGTGTGTAATACTAATCATGCTATCACAAATTAAGATATGAATAAAATTTGGTTATTTGAAGTTATATATATATATATATATATATATGTGTGTGTGTGTGTGTGCATGTGTTTATAATTTAGTATAAATACAATAAAAATAAAAAATAAAAAATAAAAAAACAGATGATTTTAAGTTCAAATAGAACAAAATATATGAATAATACAAATTATGAAATTGTATGAGATATTGCAAGAAGTTCTTAAATAAGACACTAAGAATATAGATGTTTTATTTTTCAAAATAAAATGTTTTGGATGAGGAAATAATTGCTTGAATGAAGGCATTAAACATGTATCTTTATTTTTTATTTTATTTTAATGCCAAATGCATATTTCAAAGACTCTATGTTACACTTAGTTATAAATTTTATAAATAACTTAAAATTATAAATTATTTTAAAACATGCTTTTAATAAAATATCTTTCAAATATTACATTTAATTTCTTCTACTTAAAACATACACATCACTCATAGACGTACTAATTTAAAGGGGTATTAGTAATCAAAACAATAAAATGTTCTTTGAAATGAGAAATAGATAAGTAAATCATATTTATTTATTTATTTATGTCTAATACATAAATTTTACATTTCCCACTTCAAAGCCAAACTAACAAGTTTGTAAATAGCTACATGCCTAATATCATCTTTGACTTGTGGTATGAAATAAAATCAAAACTTGATGTGGATTAAACATAACCATATTTTTTGTAGATATTAAAAGTGTAGAAATATACACGAAAATGATTACACTTTTGAACTTCATTTATTACCCTGATGAATCAACAACACAAACTACACTTTTAATATTGAAGTTACTGGATATGTATGTATGTTCCTGTATATAAATAGTGTGGAATATAGATGTCATTCCCAATGGAATAAAGAACTTTCAAAAGAAATGGAGGAACATTATAGTGGAATTAACTGCTGCCAAGATGAACTAATTAATTAATATAAAGCAAGGGTACATTTTTGTCCTTGTCCTCACTTCCCCCAATGCCACACAAAGACAATTTTTGTGAATAGATGATGTGTACAAGCTTTGACATAATTGTACTTCCCTTTGGCAACACTTGGACCTGCCCCCCATTACATCACCCAAATACCTCCCCCCCCCCCTCTTCTAATGAAATGCCCTCTTCATCACTACCAATGGTACCAACCAATCACTTCTTAGTTTATCTAATTTAGTGCTCATGAATGAGAGCTATGGTCAATAGTAGTTCCAAACCCTAATCAAGTCTTGTGGTCACCTTGAGAAAAACCCCACTTCTTCCATCACACCATAATACAATATCTAACTATATTTGTAATTAAAAAAGAAACCCTGTGTTATGTGGGACAGATAAGGAAGGCATTAGCAAACTACATAAAAAGAAACCTTGTTCTTGGTCAATTTCATACTGTTACTCCATCAATGAGATCAAGGATTTGAACCCACATCACACTCCTTGAAAGTGAAAAAGAAGAAGGTATTGAAAGATATTTTTTACATTGATATGGACCATCCTCTCTTATATAAAATGACTCGAGGGGAGATAAGACAACTGGATAAACAAGAGGAGACAAAAACCATCTCTAATTGATTGTAGATTTCATTGTTCTCATAAAATGTG